ATCTCCCTGACTAATCTTGGTATCAATTAAAGTAACCTGGAAGTCTGTTGTGACCCCCCCCCCCAGGCTGCTCATGGCCCGTGAGGTCTCCTGGTGTTGTGTCTTTTTGAAAAGCTCTGGCATCTTGCAGGGGTCTGTCTGCTTTATTAATTAACGCTTCAGGGAGTACCGCTCTCAGCTGGTAACGATTACATCCCACCTTGGAATGGTTTTCCCAATCCGTTGTGTCTTTTGGCTCAGGTCCTTCAGTGAAATGACTCAAGAGCTTTGGTTTGAATAGAAAGCAGCCCTGGACACTGGTGTTGCGCAGATTTGAGCTGTTCCTTGGCCTCTGGTCACTAAAGACCCCCATGAACCTGCTCCTTGTTTGCCTTGGCACAAGGGGGATGTGTGAAACACACTGACCTGCTGCTTCCTGGAGAGGCTGAGGGACTTGGGGCTTTTGAGTGTGGAGAAGAGAAGGCTGAGGGGGGATCTGATCAACACCTCTAAATACTGAAAGGGTGGGTGTCAGGAGGATGGGGCTGGTCTTTTTTCAGTGGTGCCCAGGGACAGGACAAGAGGGAACGGGCACAAACTTGAATATAAGAAGTTCCACCTAAAGATGAGGAGGAACTTCTTTGCTGTGAGGGTGGCAGAGCCCTGGCAGAGGCTGCCCAGGGAGGGGGTGGGGTCTCCTTCTCTGGAGAGATTCTAACCGCCCCTGGACACGTTCCTGTGGGACCTGCTCTGGGTGGCCCTGCTCTGGCAGGGGGGTTGGACTAGATGATCTCTGGAGGTCCCTTTCAACCCTATGTGATTCTGTGCTTCCGCGCTGTTTGTCCATCCTTTTCTCCTGGAAAATATCCTTACTGAGTTCACTGTTTGAGTTTTCTGGAGTATCATGAACCAAAACTGTAACCTCGAGGGGAATTTGGCACATTCTGTTAATTCCGCTGACGTGCCTTCTAATCTTGTGAGAGCTAGAGGTCCCTCAAGACTTGACCGTGAGGCTGCTCACCAGGCATTATCTGCCTTTGCTGCCTTAAATATCCTTTGTGTGGCCTCCTGCTGCTCTGTGAGAGCGTCCAGAGGCTTCAGGAGGTCCCAGCGATGTATAAGGCACCATCCTGGTGAAAAGCCTGGAGAAGAGAAGGCTCCAGGGAGACCCGTGAGGCTGCTCACCAGGCATTATCTGCCTTTGCTGCCTTAAATATCCTTTGTGTGGCCTCCTGCTGCTCTGTGAGAGCGTCCAGAGGCTTCAGGAGGTCCCAGCGATATGTCACCATCCCTGAAATGTGTTTAAGAGTCGTTTAGATGTGGTGTTGGGGGATACGGCGTAGGGGGAGAACTTTGTAGAGCAGGGTTGATGGTTGGACTCGATGATCCCAAGGGCTTTTCCAAGCTGAATGATTCTGTGATTCTATAAACAGGGTGCTGTGCGTGAGGGACAGCCATGGGAAGGCTGTGATGAAAACAGAGTGCTGTGTGTGAGGGACAGCCATGGGAAGGCTGTGATGACTCCTTTAGGAACCCAATCTGTATCTTCCAGTTCAGTCAGCGTCCCGCTACCCCTCATCTTAGTTTTTTGGAGGGAGATTATTTGGGTTTTTTTTGGTCCAGCTTAGTTTTTGATGAGTATTCACGGAGGCAGTTCGTGCAGTAGCAAGGAACAACAGCCACATAAAACCCAAGTAGGTCAAAACAGATGTTTAGAGAAGATTAGAGCTGAAAACCAGATTTTTCGGAAGACCACGAGGCTTGAAGTCAGACACCCCCCTTTCGGTATTTTTTTTTACTTATAACTAACACATGTTCTTCTTCTCCCTTACCATCTGACTTAAGGCGGTTACTCCAATCTTTTTATGCTGTTCCTGACAATTGCTCTGCCCGTGTGTTTATCCTCTGGGCTAAAAAACCATCTTGTATCCATGAAAAACATTGTTCAGAGGTTTGTTTTGAAATTAGGCGCTGGTAGGTATTGAATTCAGCTGTGTCTGACTCCAACTGATGTGCCTTGAGTCAGGAGGCTTTTATTTGCACAGAACACACGTATCCTGCCCCCTCCTCTGCCTTTGCTTTGGGAAATCCCCTTTGTTGGCTGCTGGAGGGAAGCAGTTGTGTTTCCTTCCTCTTTTTCTCCCTGATGTGGGGCAGGACTTTATTTTATTCCTCTCTTTCAGCCTCACCTCCCGACCTGCAAGACAAAAAAATGGAGAAATACCTTGTTTGCATAGCAGTATTTCTCTGAATGACTGAAAATTTACAAATCTCAATCTTGTGAGACTAATGTGACAAGTATGTGGCTCCTGGAAACCAAAAGTTTATTTTCCAAGAATTTTTTGCCGTGTGTTCCCCCCCTCCCTGGTTTCGTTAGACCTGTTGTAAAGTCTTCTCTTGCTCTTCCCGTTTCCTTCCCTGATGGTCAATGCTGGACTTGTAACCCGCATGCTTTCTGCTTCATTTGTCTGTTCCTTGGGAAAATGCCTTTCATCCCCAGGTCTCAAAGCACTTCAGTAGGAAGCTCATGATCTCCAGCCCTGTCTAACACAAGGGGAAACTGAGGCACGGCCCTGGAAGTGACTTTTCTGAGGTCACACAGAATCAGAGACTCACAGACTGGTTTGGGTTGGAAGGGACCTTAAAGACCATCTCATTCCAAACCCTTTCCATGGGCAGGGACACCTCCCACCAGCCCAGGTTGCTCCAAGCCCCCTCCAACCTTGGCCTTGAACCCCTCCAGGGATTCAGGAAACTATCAGGAATCCCTACAGGAAACCATCAACCTTCATCCTAGGGCTCCCCTCCCTCATCCAGAGTCCTTCACCAGCTTTCCTGGAGCCCCTTGAGGGACTGGAAGGGGCTCTGAGGTCTTCATGGAGCCTTCTCTTCTCCAGGCTGAACCCCCCCGACTCTCTCATCCTGTCCTGACAGCAGAGGGGCTCCAGCCCTCCCAGCATCTCCGTGGCCCTGAAAGCTGAGATTTAAACTGATGTCTCTTGAATTCCAGGCTAATTGCATGGGAGAGGATACATCTCATTAAGCTGATTGAAAAGCTGGTTAATGTGTTTGGCTGTGTCTTCATACCAGTATGTGATCTTTTGGTCATTTTTTAAGGATAGCTAAGACCTAGAAAAAACACTGGAGAACTTTAGCTTCTTGACATCTGGTTTTGGAGCCAAGTCTTTCCCCTTCTCCCTCCCCTTTGGTGGTTGCCAGGAAATTATGGAGCTCTAAAGGGCTGGAGAGGTTTGGTTTTTTTTCTCCACTACTCTCTGGCATTGCTTCATTTGGAAACTATTCAACCACCGACCCCCACGTGCCCTGTTTGACCGCGCCATGTGCCTGAGAAAAAGGACCAAGATCTAAACTCTGCACAACATCTGGCTGAAATCCCTCTCCCGAGTCAAAAAGTTGCTGGTTCATCCCTTAAACGACCAGCTTATTTAAGGCTGTGGCACTTGTATGACAAATAAGTCCCCAGCCAGGCTTGGCAACCAAAAGCTGGAGCCTGTTAGCCACTGCTCCATGAGACACACGAGGTCAGCCAAGGCCACTTCTGCAAAGTGTCTGGGTGCAGTAACATTTGTTGATCCTCTACAGGTGAAACTGGACGTGCAGTGACAGAAATAAGTCTTCTATCATCATATTGGGAAAACAGCCTTCAATATAAATACCTATAAATACGTTTCATTGCCCGTCTGATTTTCCACGGTGTAAGTGATGGGTTTGGCTTCTTTATTTAAGGAGGTGCAGGAGAAAACTGGTTCAGTTCTGTCCTGGTAGGATTTAATCCAGGTTGGCTGCACCTTGCAAGACCCACTGAATTTACAGAGAAATAGGAAAATCAACTGCTAGCACTTGTGACCTGTAGAATTTTCACAGAATCTTCTAGGTTGGAAGGGACCTTAAAGATCATCTTGTCCAACCGTCAGCCCAACTGACAAAAATAGACACCCCCACACCAAACAAGGAGCATCATCACTAAACCAGACCTCCCAGCACTACATCAACCC